GGTGAACTTGACTGGATGCACATTCGAGTGTTTCGCGGCGAGATCCTTGAGCGATTGTGCAGCTGGATCGCGCGCTCCGGCGAAGACGACAGTGTTTTCGCGGGCAGCTAGGAGAGCGGCGAGGCCAAGACCAATTCCACGGTTCGCACCGGTGACTGCGTGATTGTTAAATTTAAATGTCGGCACCGAGAGCTGAACAGAAAAACAAACTTAGGTAAACGGTTTTGGACATCGAGAAAATGAGTTTGGTGTGGTAGAGATGTTAGTATGAGAAGGACGTGTTCCATAATTGCGACCAGCAACTGGCTTTATACTCCCAAAATTCCTGCGGAAACACGGTAAGACGGGAAAGCGGGAAAGAGAAGGGAAGACTCGGAGCATGCCGGATTCGTCATCCCCGATATAATCGGCCAAGGATTGAGCAAGGCGCTTTGAAGGCGCTGACTAAACATGTTGAATAATCCGCCGCGAGCCCGCGTTAGCAATTCCAACCTTCGCCACGTAGGCAGTTGTTGTCAGATCGAGGAGGATACGTTATATTCATGACGCGGTCCCCAATCGTAAATGCTCTGCCATGTCCCACATTGTTGTAACTCGAGCAGACTCAAAGCAGACTTTCTAGTCTTTATAAAATTGCGGCGCCACCGTGACTGGTCCAAGGTTGCGCGGCGGCTCCACTCGAGTTGAGTCTTAAACTAGCGCTGGTCGCCCTAAAAAAATATCCCCGTTTCCGCATCGTAAATATAGGCAAAAAAGCTCAAGGGAATTTGTGTACTCCGCTTCATTGTCAGGCTGCCGTGAGTCAAGATTCCAACTCGCTACTTGCAAAGTTATACATCAGGACTTGATCAGGACACATCCATACTTCAGTTCCAATTCAACCAATTGAATATTGCCATCGATTACCACGGGATGTCGTCCGTGTCTATGTCCAATGGATTGCCGGTAGTACGCTTGAAATTCCAGAATCGACCACTCGTCTTCTCGACCGTCGCGCCATCTATCCGCGACATGATTCCCGTCACTGAGTCCTCCAGAGTGACTGGTGCGGCAGGGAGCCCATTCGCCACCGTACCGGCATTCCCCATCTCCGTCGCGACCCAGCCAGGAGAAATTGCGAGAGCGATGAGCGTGGGGTGCTCCGCGGCGAGAACCTTGATGAGAAAATTGACTGCGGCTTTCGAAGAGCCGTACGAGGAGGCGGAGAGGTGGAGATATGAGGTCATGGAAGCTCCAACTGTGGAAATGAGCGCAAACGTCGGTGCGCCAGTGGGGGATGCCAGAAGCAGCGTGTGTGCTGCCTGGAAGAGAACGACAGGACCGAGGGTGTTGACTTCCCAGTGATCGTGGAACTGCGAGAGCGGTGTCGTCGCCAGGGGGCCGTAGTAATTCGAGATGCCTAGGTCAAGTGAGGTCAAGTTTGAGCAAAACGAAAAAGGGAACGTGCGGACCTGCATTTGCAATAATAACGTCGAGTTGGCCTGCCGTCTTTTTATCTCTGCGATGGCCGCTTCGTTGTCATCTTTGTCGCCAGAGGCGAGCTTGACGTCGTGGACGTTGGGGTATTTGGCAGCCAAATCTTTCAACGATTGGGCAACGGGATCGCGAGCGCCTACGAAGACGATATTGTTTTTACGCGCAGCAATGGTAGCGGCCAGGCCATAGCCAATCCCGCGGTTCGCGCCAGAGACTAGTAAATACGGGTCAATATTTTCTTTTCTGGAAACTAGGCCGAACGCATTGAGATAGACGGTTTTACTTGACATGCTGTCTGTGTTTGGTTTGATGGGATGGATGGGGCGGCAGGAAATCTGTGTCCATACTTGCGCAAATTCAACTTACTTCATAGATAACCTGGTCAATGCCTTTGTCATCAAACAAGTCAGATAAGTGAGATAAGTCAGCGGCTTACCATGAATCTTATAAATTCCACGCGTCCGCTTACTCTCCCGTGGAACGGGAAGGAAGGACGATAATTGGGCATTAAACCTAAGAAGCTTTGCTTAGAAATTTGCACCGTAAGCCAACCCTGATTATACTTACCCGATAAGACTGCGAAAAATTCAATCGGCAGTGGAATCGTGAACAGACATAGAGAGCCTATTTTCCACATCTCCGCAAGCATTCCCAAGTCAAACTGTAGTCGTTGGGCATAAGCACCGGGGATCCTCGTACTTCCCTAATTGACATCTGGATTTTCGTGGTTCGAAAGTAGTTGCTGCACTTGATATTATGACAGCAGCCCTTTGCACTGAAGTTACTGGCCAGGCTCCAGTGCTCTCCGGTGAGTCACCGAAGTTGGCCGCGTCCCAGATTTCTCCTGATGCGACTGGGGACAGGCACTTGAATCGGTTCATGTTGCAGTCGACGCGCGAGCTGCCCAGTAGTTTTCGATCGGTCGGCTCGGGGGCTCAGCGCTCAGGTGGCAGCTGGCAGCCACTGGAGCCAGACTCCAGTCTCTCGGAGTCCAGTGGGCGCCAAGTGGACGGCGGGAAGAGAGAGTGGAACGATCCCGTGATGTTGGTGACGCGTCACCTCAATAAGTACAAGCTGCAGCACAGCCACATCCTTCTCTTTCTTTCTCCTCCCATCATCGCCGATTCAAGTTCCAATCTCCGCCAACGAACGTTCGACGTTCGTTAACCTTTGAACTCGTGCTTAGCTATAGTTCCCTTAGCCGATCTACATCTGGAGGGCCAAGGGCTCCAGCAGCCAAGCGACTTTTTGGAGGAAAGAAGATCAGGACAAACGACTCATCAGGACAAACTTTCATGCTTTGACTGATGCCGGAATCCGTCCTACCACCGCGTGGGCGGCCGCCGATGCGTATGTATTCAGGAAATGCTGGGAAATGTCGCAGCCTGTTCTCTCATCGATAGGACAGAAGACATCACCGCTTCTCCACCTGAAAAAAGGGCTCGAGGACCGTGTCTCGTCAAGCCTCGTCCTGCAACACGGGATTATTTCTCACCAACACGCTATCCATACCCTATCGCTCATCGATAGCTCGAAGCGGAAATTTTCCTTACAGAGGGCCGATCGCGATCTCACGTACACTGGCTCACGAATCACGATCGGGGTGTCCCAGCGGGTTGGCCTGGGTTCGCGGCGATCTTCTAGTAACAGTTTGCGATCTGCGCGCCCCGCCGGCTGCGATGTGCGTTGAATTCTCACGCTTGGTCGACTCGCGCGGTGGATCTCCCCAGCGAGTGTGCGTGATAGGTGGCATGCTCAAGCGCGCCAATATTGCTTATTATCTACCCGCCAATGCGCCTCCAGGCGTCCAGCCGATCTTGATCGCGCGATATGCTTCCCCGCATTTTGTTTTGCGATCCCGCATCCTTGACATCCTGAGAATGAGGTGATCCGTCATTATCAGGGCTCACTATCTTGCCATCTTGGCGACAGTATTGACCGCGTTAGCGTTTCAATTGCACAGCCCAATCGTCGGAACTAACTGCAGGTGCTGCAACTCCTTAGAAGCGTCGGTGCACTGTCCTGATATGCGCGCTTCTTCGAACTTCATCTGGTGCCACCGTGGCCGTGACGGGCATTTTCAAGCCGTTGATAAAACTGGGGCATACACACGTTCGTTGAGTTCACGCTGATACTCTCCGATATCTTACCGCGCCAGTCTTTGTCGACGAACTCAACTTGTCACACACACACCAGGCCCGTGCGAATACCCGAGGCCGGTAGACGCTTTCCATCCGAGGTGCTCCAGGTATAGCACCATCTGCTTCTCTTCGAATCGCCAACCTCAGGGCCCAAACGAAGCAGACTGCGCAAATCGCCACTGGAGCGGAAGTTCATAATCCAGAGTTGCGACGCCTCGCCACGCTGCTGCCTACGTGCAACGGCTAGATATGAGTGGGCGTAGGGTTATTGTGATATCGTCAACGTGATTAGCGAGGTAGGTTTTTCCGTGACGTCGCAAAAATGGGTCTGTTGACTGACTGAGCAGTCCAATTGCGCCGGCAATGCGCGAAATGAAAGATGAACTCACTCAAGTGTGGGTTCTTGCGTACCAAATGAAGTTAGTATCCTCTTAAGGTGAAATCCCCCGAATGTTCAACTATTCCCAAGATTGCAACGCTGACCCAGGCCATGAACACATCGAAGAACGTGGTGTGAATCCGCACCGAAATCCTATTCGACGAGATATTGTCACCGCAACATGTTGAGTGGTCAGCCAGTTTGCTATTGGGATACCACCGAATTAAACTCCAACGCCGGCCCTTGCGCACCGATACAAGTTAGCGGGTCCCCGGCCCGAATGCGAATGCCTTCATAAGATCAAAATGTTTGCTAAAGCATCGAGGAGATGTTGGTCCACCAACAATGCAGTTTGTTCAACCTGATTGTCAGGAATCAGGAGGGGCATGCGAAACGGAACACTGCTGGCATGCTCGGCCACACTTTTAAATAGTTCCGATCGACCTTCGCACTGAGGAATTCCTTGAACGGCGGAACCTTGTTGGTCACTCGGCCGTTTGTCGGGATATTGTCCTGGTTTGCATGATACCTTCATTCCTCAAAATCTAACTCCGTGTTTCTTAGAAGTTAGCGCACTCTTCTGAGTTAAAATATACGCCCGCTACGAGGGTCGGCAGCGGTCCAACATGATAACTGAATCTGCCGAGCATGATCTGTCAATAGTGTAGTCTTGCCCGCTCGGAAAGGTGATCAGTGCGATGGTGTGAAATCACGCCCGGTATCTTGCACGTCAGTTAGTCCCTCCAATATCCTCTCCAGGCAAGTGTTCGGAATCCGAATTCACCATGAGGAATCAAATGCACGAGATTTGGTGTCGCGAGATCTTCTCCGGTTGGCGGTGATTTCCTCCAATTCTGCGGGGAATTTAACATGAGGAATTGCATGACAAAGTTTGGGGTCTCTCCAGTGAGGATGGTGCCTCCACTTCGGTGTTAAGATATGGTGTGAGCCCAATCCATCTGTACCCGCGGAAGGTAGTATAGCCGCTGGACCCCTCTACCATCGGGCTGATAGTGTAGTTGGTTATCGCGCCCGCTTCGCAGGGCTTACGTAAGCAGGGCATGCGGGAGGTGCTGGGTTCAATTCCCAGTCAGTCCATTGTTTTACCTCGCTACACAGCAATGGCAATGATGTTCTTTGTTGCGTGTCTTGGCCTGTCTCCTTTTTCTGGGAATCTCTCCCTCGAGTGGTCGGAACACGTTTCCAGTCAACAAACTGGCTTTGCTGATCGGGCCAGCCACTTCTCCAACCTCCCGAGCACCCGCTCAAATATTTTGGGGAGTTTAGGATGTCGGGGATTGAAGGGGGAAGCCCAACAATCAGGCGCAGAATGGAATCAACAGAAAGTGATGCGATCATTTACAATTGATGCCCCGAAAAAAAGCCGTATCGAGTGCGCCAATCATCTGCGGGCCGTACAGGACCGCTCGCTAAGATTAAAGGAAGACGTACGGATTTGCGATTCGCGAAGAGCACGCCATCGTCGGTGTGCCTGATTGGATGGAGAGTTTGTTCCATCGGTCTCCATCGGTATTGGGTCGGGGGCTGATCGGGTGTCGGGGCGGGGGGTCCGACAATTTCGTTGATGACTCGGAGTGGGAAAGGAAGGAGGAGGAGTTATTGAAAAGTGGATTCATGGATATTCCTGGGCTCGAACTCGGTCCCTTTTCATTTCTTATTCGACGAACGGGTTCCGTTCAAGTTGAATGGCAGACGGATTGCGATCGTACGGTGCACTCTCGGCCACTACAATATCACCCGCTCAACAGCACCGTACGGCACCCCGCTCCGGTTTTAGCAGGCCTTCGCGAGGGTGATATTCATCCAATTAATTTATACAGGCAGCGCGCAATAGGTCGAAGAACATCCACTTCGAAGTTATAATTGAGAAGGGTTGGCGCGATGGCTGTATTGGTTGAGTTCATCGTGCTTTTCGCGAGGCTACGGTGTCACGAGCCGAAAGTGCGGGTTGGACGCCTTTCGCTCCTACAATACTCAATACGTACTCATTTTGCCCGAGTTGGCCCTTAGCTGGTTGAGCATTGTAGATATAGCCATAATGTTAATGGAGGATAGCCAACGGTCGGTCGGTCGGTGACTCTTTGCCCCCCAAACCTAAAAAATGTAATTCAACCTCGAGTTATTTTCTTCAACCCCTCTTGCTGGTGTTTCTTGAGGCTCAACACCCTACGCACTAAACGATCGTTTCGCAACCGGTAAACGGTAAACGGTAAACGGTAAACCTGACCCCAAGAATTCAGCGGTCCCCCGCTCCGGGCCTAGAATCTAGAAATGAACAGGGTGATATTTATCCCTACGCCACATTAACTCTTGGAGGCAGCGCGCTATAGGTTGGCCGTGGGTTGGGATATTCGGGCTGCTGTAAGGACAAGAATGAGAAGGATGATTCTGAAGCCCCCAGGAATTATTATTCTTTCATTTTATCTCTTCCTTTTCTTAATTCAGAACTGCACTCTGGTGAATGACGAAGTACGCTGTGTATTTTGGTGCGGGGATTGGTTGAGCTCACCGTTTTGTTTTTTTTGGTGAGGAAGTCGATGTAACGTCATCAGATGGGTGTACGATTGTTTAAGCCAATGCGTCGAAGGGAGTTTCAGATGGTCTAAATCTCTGATTTTCTACGGCGTACGGTCCAGGTTGATTTTCCTCGTTCCGAAATTCAGACAAGCGAGACTCGGGAATCAAAATTCAATTGAATGTTCGAAGGCGCGAGGCGTTGCGCTGACGCGAGGGTGTCGTCGACGCGAGGGCGTGGTGTGGGGTAAAGCGGGGAAGGTTAGCCGCGACAAACATCCTTCGAAACGCTGCTGTCGTCCCCGCCGCGAATTCCGTTGTGTCAGTTGTGTCCGCCGTTAGGCGAGGGAAGCAGCTGGAGTGAGGAAGAAGCAGTGTCGATTCAAACATAAGGTGGACGCGCTAACTGCGTGTTGGAAATGCCTTCCAAATTCCAGAGCATCCAGCCAGTGTCTCGAATCTCAGCACAAGGAGGCACAAGGCGCGTTCGTGGAGAAGTAAAGAACTGGTTCCAACGTTTGGCGTTGACGTTGGATGCCCTCGCTTAAGAGCGTGTCGTGGTAGTGTGTCGTGGTGGTGTGTCGTGGTCTGTCGTGGTAAAAGTCTAGGCGGTCGAATAAATATAAACGCCCATGGCCAATTCAAGTTCCAAAGCTCGCGTGGCCTGCATCCGAGTCGCGAGCAAGTGGCAGTGGAGTAAGCAGAACGGAATGGAATGGAGTCAAACGGCAGTGGAGCGAAGCAGTTGAATTTTTACAAACGCCGGCGCCGGCGCCGCGCTTACTTACACCCGCGCGCCGAGCGTCCCGCTAAGCGATTCGCGAACAGCACGCGAAGGTCTATTGAATATTCATGTTCTCATCAGCGGTCGGCGGCGGGGGAAGGGCGAAGGAATTCTCTTGGCTTGCGGCTTCTGAAGTGAAGGGAGCGCTTCGGATTCTGTTCTGTGTTGAACAGAAAACACTAGGCGGAGGAATCACATGTGAGTGTCAAGGAAGGTGAATGAATAGTCAGGGCAACGGACCGAGTGGTATACTGTGGTATACTATAGCTTATAGTCCCGGGATGCATTGCACAAACTCCGTGAATTACAATTACAAGTGGAAGCAGTTGAATCTTGAAGTGGTTCAATTTTTCGTCACGGTCTTTTTTTTTGCTGGACCGAACGTCAAGCTCGCGTTAACGTTTCGGTTTGGTTTCGGTTGAAAATTTGTGTGGAGACCTTACTCCGCCGCCGAGCGACCCCGGCGGGTAACCGCCCAAGCGCCGGCAGACTCGGAGGGAAGGCTCAACTTCGATGCGATCGCATTGTGCGCATGTGGGCGCACGCCAACATGAAGTACGCGCAAGTACGCGATGGCGGTGTCTGATGGTGGAGGTGTAACCGTGTATCAGAAGGAAGTACAAGGGACGTCAGAAGTAACAACTTCAGAAGGAGCCCTTACTTCCGTTCAACAACGAGCGAAAAAGGGCGGGGTATAAGTACCTCGGTTATGCTGTCGCACAGGTCCCGAGCGGCGGGATCAACGTCGGCGCGTAGATAGCGCTTTGTAACGTTAGCAGATAACTGGGTGAGGTTAATTAAGGCGGGTTAGATTACGCGTAGGCTTTAGAGGATCTTATCTTATATTATTGGGCGGTATCTACGCGCGAGTCAGGGCGACCGATCGTGATCGAGTAATTAATTTTTTGGTTTGATACGAGTGATAAGGAGGCACAAATACGAGTGATTAAGGGAGCTGAGGGAGCCACAGAGGTGGAACTTGCGGAGAAGAGTGGGGAATGAGCCTAAGTTGAAGTGGGGAAAGCGCGACCGTGCGCTGGGTGAGGTCCGAACGCGAGGATAAGGGCTGCACTGATACTGACAACGATTGAGTTTGTGTGAGAATCCCTCCTGCGCTAGTCTCCTCGTCCGACAACGAGGATGCTGGTGTATGGTCTCCAGACATTGAACACAAAGCCATTAGGGCTACGCTGGAGATTAATTGGAGGTCGGGCGTTCGAAATCTGATGGACGGGTTCCCTCGAGGCCGGCCTTCCGTCCCGAGCCATCACGCGTGCCGCCTCGAGGCCTCGCTAAGCAGAGACGCTTCGGCAAGCTGGGTTAAGGGCATACCGCGAAATGAACGGCCAGATCGACGCCCGCCATGAGGCTGATCCCGATGCACGCACGCTCGTAGAGTAGGTGGTCTGTGCGCTGCGTCTGCGCTTTGCTCGTCGGCCTACACATCGTATCTTGTTTATGAGGAGACAGAATATTTATTGGGAAGGGTAGACGGGCCAGCGGAGCGGTGGGCGGGAAAATATGGGGATTTGGGAGCCAACGTGCACGTTGTTTCCATACTGGGCCGGCGGGTGTAGTGTCGTATAAGTCATGCTCACATCACTTTTTTCCTTTCTCCGTTTCTGTTTTCCGTCCGTCTTCTCTCTTAGCGCCAGTTCACAGCTGCGCGCGCCAACACACACACGCCCCCGGTCCAGAACTGAATGCCCTCCATCCTCAACCTCAAGTTCAAAGTCCGTCCTGCGCCCTGCGCACCCGAGATGTCCTGACGTTTTTCCCGTTCTCCCCCGCCTTTCTTCGTTGTTGTCGCTCGTTGTCGATTTTGCGTTGGCGCGAAAAGGGTAACAAGTCCTTTGTTGCGTTCAGCAACCTCAACGACACAGAGTCGTTGACCAAGACCTGGAAGGTGCGCTTTTCCCCAATTCTCGATATCTTTTTTTGGCGTTGTTTGGCGGGCGCGCTGGCGCCCGATCATTCGCCGTCGCTGTCGCCGTTCCCGCTGCCATTCCGTGTTTCGCTGTGTGTGCTGTGTGCTGATTGGGGCGGACAGGTCTGCACCAAGGTCGCGAGCTACCTCGAGCAGGGACAGCGTCTCGAGAACTTGTCCTGGCGGTACGTCTTTCTTTGCCTTTTTCTTTTTCTTTTTCTTTTTCTTTTTCTTTTTCTTTTTCTTTTTCTTTTTCTTTTTCTTTTTCTTTTTCTTTTTCTTTTTCTTTTTCTTTTTCCTTGCCCCTCCCCTCCCTCCCTCCTTGTCTTTTATCCCCCTTGCCCGCCCTCCCCGTGTCAATGCCACCCATTTCTGCCTGCAAAATGATATGACACCGACACCGATACTAACACCGCGCACAGACTATGGCACCTCCAGAACCTCATGGTCGACACCGACAACGCCAAGAGCAAGCGCGAGTTCAAGAAGCTCTCAAAGTGCATGGGCGATAAGCTCGACAAGGAGAAGGGCCGGTGAGGACGTCTTTCTTTCGTTCTTTCATTCTTTCGTCCCCTCATTTCCTTCCTTCATTCCCCTTTTTTTTTCGTTGCGCACCACTTTTTTGGGGGCGCTGGCGGACGAGGTTACGACGCTTGTCGAGCCTTCGACCTTAGTGCAGGCGAAGGCGCCTTGCGGCGCGTCGCGTCCTTTGCTTCGCTTATCTCGGCTGCTGCGTCGCGTCGCGTAGCGCCCTTTGACTTTCTTTGACTTTCTTTTCTTTGATTTCTTTCAATCCTTTGTCTGTTCTCCCGTCTAAATTTCCTTTATACCCCACCTTGCCCTCCTCCTTTT